CAATTGGCGAGACTATATCTGAGATTGCAAAGAACACGACGAACTTAGTTACTGGTGATACTCATGAGCATGGAGCTACTGATTATATGGGACATGAACACGGACATCGTTGAAAAGTTAAAAAGATGAATGTTTTTGTTTTTTGGTTTAAAAGGGGTTTTGTATGTTAATAACAAGCGGCTCTGTTTCAGAAGACTTCTCTAGTAAAAAAAACTTTTCTGTTTAGTGGTTCGAAGTATGTATTGGTTAGTGGATCAATATAATCGACGATGATGTTGTTAAATCTTCTTAATCATTTAGTAAGGGAGATTCGATCTCTAGGGTGGCTACATCTTTGAAACTGCTTGCAACCGTGAGAGTCAGCAGCAGCAAAGCATGCTATGGTTATCATGTTTGAAATGAAACATCAAACTTCGAGGAATTGCTGATCCATCTACCAAGTTTACAAGTAAACTTATATCTTAAAAGATACCTTATTATAGTTATCATCACTTTGATAAAGATGATAATTATCTTTATTGGGATGGCTTGTTACTATGCACCACCACAAACATGACACTCACAGGCAGCATATTTGTGGTTAAAACTTGTGGTGTAGAATCCATGTATGGAGATGGGGTGGTGGACCAACATAAGAAAGAAATTTACAGTATATATGTTGCCACGTTCAGTTTTCCTCTCACATACGATAGTAACGGCATAATAGTTTCCAAAATGAATTGGAAACCTATGATTGTAAAATTAACTTGATGAAGGCGTCGAGATTTCAGATGATTTAATTTAGTCCATATTAGAATCTGGTGTATTTTGAATGGAGATACTTAGAGCGTCCTCATTAATGAATCTAGGGGAATTTTGATTCCTAATGCATGATTATTATTTTTTTTTCCATTTGATTGTATAAAAAAAAAAATCGAACCTCGTGAATCGTCACGTGGCATGAAACCCATGAAATAGTAGTGAAACATGTTTATTAAGAAACACCCTTATGAAACAGCTTCATGATTTAGGTGAAATCCGAAATTATTTTAGTTTTTTTTTTGGAATGTGTGAGAGTTTGGGATGTGAACCTCTAACACGGGGGTACTTTTATTGGCTTGGTTATTATGATGAATAAAAAGATTGATGTACCAAACTAATGAGCTCAAATTTTTACACCAAAATTCAATGTTATAGGTTATAGCATTCAGTGAAACGAGCTTAACCCACTTTAGCTTTATCCTAAGCAAAAGATTTATTCATGCCTCGGCACATTTAAACCATTGCTTGTCGTTTTTATTTAGGCCATGATATCATGTCCATTAAAAAGTTCTCCATAGATGTCTACACAAATAAAGTAATAAAATATTAAAAATAGGAGAAAATATGGGTGCCAGTCATATTTAATTTGGGAAAATTGTCATTTAAATCCCGAACTTTCAAATTTGGTTGAAAAAAAGCATGAATTTTCTCTTGGACCATTTAAAGCACCAACTTAGTTTGAATAGCCATTTTAAACCTCAATTTAGTTTGACTAAACCAAATCGAACACGACGTTAACTCGGGTAACGGATCGATTAGACGGAGTTAATCACCGTCTCTAATTTCCGTTAAGTCATCTAAAAGACGTCGTTTTAAAATTTTTGAAAAATATGCAACTGGAGGGAATTGAATCCGAGACCCAAAGCAAACTCACTTTAAGACAAAACCACTAGGTCACTTGCACTTTTTGTAACTTAAATGAATACTAATAGATTTATTATGAAATATCCAAATCATTTTCCCACCCTAAATCCCTAAATATTAAAAATTATAAATAACTTAATAATTAAAAAAACGTAAATATTAGTAAAAATATTAAAACTTATAATAATTATTAAGTTAATTAATAAGAAGTGTTAAAAATATTAAATAACAATTTTTTAATCATTAAGTATTATTGAATATTCAAATTTTCATTCTTATACTTAATAATTAATTATTTTCATTCTTTTTTAGTCATTAAGTATTATTGAATAATTAATTATCTAAACTATTAAAACTGAAGTACAAATAAGATTTGACCCTGACTTTTCCTAAATAATTACAATCTAATGCCACTGGATTAATAATTAAAAATAAATATTAAAAACTAAAATTCTCATTAAAGTTGTTTTAGTCTTTCATTTTACCGTAATCTAACCAGAAAAATCTTTGGTTTCTATGACGACGTTAAGATCATTTAGATCTATCAACAAGATTTACGACTTCTATGACGAACGCAAACGGAGATTCAAGGTACGTCAGATTCAAGGTACGTCATTATTGGAAGATATTCACCTATCCTATTGCTTCAACTTGTGGGTTCCCTTTCTGCTGTCATTGACAAAGAG